TCCATTGAAAAAAAATCTTGTTTCCTTTTAAAATTATTGTATTTTAGCAATTTATTTCGACAAAGATGACGTAAGGTAAACATCTCATTTGAAATTGAAATTAAATCTAAAATATTGAAAAAAGTATAATGGTATAAAATATGAATCAAACTTTTGTAAAAAGGCGAGGAATATTATTGGGACCAACGAGAACCTAAAAAAAAAAAAAAAAAGAAAATCGAAAAACGTATCAAAAATAATCCACATGCCATTTCCTAACCATTACCATTTCCCACTGAGAATTAAACAAATAAAACCTTAATGGTGAACGGATCGAAGCCAATTCGCAGAATATCGTAAGTTAAAGCCATATCCATCATCCTAACCATTAGAGCTAGGAAATCAGATCAGAACTGGATGTTAGACCCAAGTTTTGTCCGTGAAGCCTTTCTCCCCCCCCCCACTACGCCCCCTTCCCATTTCAAACCTGCCGTTCCACCGGACTATTTCTTTCTACGACCGTTTCCTCTTAATGTCTTTTTAATAGAGCGACTCTATTTAACGCTGTTAGTCCAAAGAAAACGCATTAGATAATATTACACCCTCGTCTCTCGTGAATGATAATATACTCATTTTTCATTAAAGCCATAAATTGTGTGTCATTGTTGGTCTTAATGGTGAGCCCAGCTCCCAATTGGCAAAGATTAATAGACTTAAAAGGGAGGTGGAGGGGATTAATACGATTTTTATCAAACACAATTACCTTGTATTGATGCTTGCTCTAGGAACAAAACTATTACTCCATTGCGCCTATTTTCCACCCAATAATTATCTTTTTGACAGATAGACTTTATCTAATTGGATTCACTGAGAAGAATGAAAAAAAGGAGCAAGGCACGCATCTGGGCATCTGGAGCGCTCGTAGAGAAAGCATAGAATCTCCAAAGTTTGAACATGGATAAAAAAATAATTAAACAGCTTCTGTGAAGATATGCACCGTGTTACAGAGGTGCCTGGAAACTCACTTCTCTGCCATCAATAAGCACCTGCCGTTACCATCTCCCAATTTTTACACATTAGACCGTGTGACAGGATGGTGCATGTAGTGCGTTAAGAACCGTAGTCCATGTCCCATCGCTCTGCATATAATAGGTGCCATTCGCCCCATGTACTGACCCCAATATTTTCGACAAACCCTTAACACTACTAATCGTATGGAGCGCTGGACTAAGGACTACCATTTTTATAACGAGCACGCGTGGAGAGTAGAGTTTGAAAACGAAAAGTCTGGCACTCATCGAAAGTGAAGCTCGGAGTTGGGCCGTATCCTAGAAGGTTTTTTTCTCAGACATTTGATGTTACTATAACACTAACAAAGTGCCATGTATGGTTTGCTGCAGTATATATAAATATCGCTGTTCCATAGTGAGTCCTGGGTAGCTAAATATAGGCTACGTATATACATATCTTAGACATTTTAATGATTAAAAAAATTAAATTTACACAATTTAAACAATTAGATTTAAAAAGTTGAAACTTTTCAACTACATCAGTCTTCAACACAGGAAGCAGGAGGCCGTGGAGAATACCCCGCTGCTGTTTTTTTAAGGGTCACGTCCCCACCTCTTTAAAAATTGCTTTTACGCGTCTGCAGTGTTACCTGTCTTTAAGCATTGATCTATCAAGTTAAACTTGTGTGTAAGAAGTTAAACAGACATCACTTTAGGTTGATTTTCAAGCGAAATTCTCATTTATGGTTTCTGTGATTTACCTACAAAGCAGATCCGCACAGTCGAACAAAGTAAGAACAGGACCGGAGAACGATGCCAATGATTGTGTTAATTGAGACAGTACGAATGCTCCGACGCATTCAGGTGTGTGGTCGCTCACTTATAACGGTTAAATTTTAGACCCGAGACCTGTTGGGTTAAACAATCCTTGTAAAACATTTACATCACAAAATTGTCATTTTTTTCTGAGAATTTCAACAATTTTAATTCAATGATTTAGAAAAAAAATGGTTGCAAAATGTGTTGCGGTTGCAACCGTTTACTACTAGGCCTAGGCCCCTATATCTCCCTGGATTTCGGCCGACAAAATAATGAATGCTCCAAAATTCTTTACGTATTTCGTGTAGTTTATACGTAGTGTAACAATGTTCAGCTCTCCTACTTGTACCTGAACTATTGTCGTCTGCAAAGTGAAGTCATTTTAGACGTGTTGTTTGAAAAAAAAATCCGTCAAAGGTTTGTGGAATTCATGATGCAATTGACGTTTAACGGTAAGAGCAGAGTATCATAACGCATTACGTTCTATGCGTAAGTACGATTATATATATGAGGTTATGTGCTGGAAAACAGAATGAACGTGGGGGTTTCACAATCCTGTTTGAGGCCTGGAATGATCGGATATTGATATCATGGGGCCGTAGCGATAGTCCGAAGGTTCAATAGTCCGAAGGTTCATTGGTCCGAATGTTCACTATAGAACCTTCGGACCAATGAACCCTTGATTAAAAAATCGATGAAAATGTTACCACTTTTCGGACCAATGAACCTTCGGACTATCGAGACGCCCCCGATATGATGACGTGCCATTTTTCCGTCAAACCTAGAATTCAAGAGTCGAATCCTAGGTCAAACATTCAAGAGAAAAGAGAAATTATTAAAAAGAGGGGACGTTTAAAATGTCCAGTAACACATTAACAGGGTTATTTTATGTGCTTTAAGCATGCCCATTTTTAGCTTTGTCAATACTTCTATTGCAATTGCATATAAAACCTTATATTCGTAATAAGGTAGTACCATATATACTGTAGATAGTGCGTTTAGATTGGCTAATTTTTATATTATTAAAATAACAATTTTCATATTTTCATAACATAAAGATTAAAGGAATTGGTGTATTTTGTAGGTTCTTGTTATTCCAGGCATCTTGCTGATCGCCGACTCATTAAGTTCCTAAATGAGATTGAGATCACACACACACTCACACACACAAACACACACACACACACACACACAGAGAGAGAGAGAGAGAGAGAGAGAGAGGGGGGGTGGGGTGGGGTGGGGATAGGACCCTCAATTGTATTTACCATTTCTATAGAGACTTAACATGTTTTCTACCGATGCGGTATACATGTAAAGTGTTACGAGTATTCTTCCAAGGGCTTTATTCACATTTTTTTTCGATGTGAGTTCTGTCATTCATGATAGGTAAAACAGTTTTTTCTCTTTAAAAAGGATTAATTTTCCTATCATCATTACGCACGTAAAACCCATTTCACCATAATTTCATATATGCACAATTTTAAAGGAAATTATATAAATCTCTGTTATCGCATCTTAACACCCTGAGTTTTAGAGGACAAAACTGAAAAGCTGTGTACTGTTAAGGGCAGAGATATGTTGATAGAGGGTCATTTTGGGGTATTTTTGTTAACCGTGAATGCAATTTTTTTATTTCCCGAGATGCGTGAAACTTCCATATTAATTAGCGTGATCCGTGAAGCATCCCATTCCCGGGACTCGTGAATGCGGTTTTTTAGTCTTTGCCCTTCGTGAAACTTACACCCCATTTCCATAGATTAGATCGACCTACTTTAGATCGACCTAACTCCCTGGGGGTTCACGCTAAATAGCTGTCAGCCGGGCGGACACGAAAGTTAATTACCTCCTTACAGCTTGTAGTAGGCGGGACGGACATTAAAGTCGGATTATCTGAAAGTAATCTAGTGAGACTCCCCGCGGGGATAGATCGATCTAAAATATATGGGAATAGAGCCTAAATGTCATTATACTCGGTGATCCAGGATTTTCGACACGTATTATAAATGAGATATGAATTAAGTTTTATTTACTGTTATTTGTGAACTGATGATTTTATTTCCAGTCAACGGTAATCCCCCTCCCCCCCTCCACCAAATGGGACTCGCATAATAGTAGAGGGGTGAGTTTCCAGTATCCTTTGAAACTCATGGTGTATTAACATTATCACGTCCTCATTATTATCATTTACAGTTTAGGAAATGATGATATCGTGATTGTCAGGAAACTTCCTAAAATCATGTAATCAATCTAATGTACTAATTCAACCAATTAAACTTTGACTTTTAATAACTTGCTAATAATTTGGGAAAATATGGGAGCTGTAAAGCTTACATCAGAAACGAAATTAACAAAGGGTTTGTAATAAATTGCTTGGCAGAGTGCCAGGCGGAGTTTTAACTTAAGAGGATAAAAAGCGTAGATACAAACTTTCAGACAGCAGAAGATAAGACTTCCTGGCGTGTTAATCTGTTTATCTGATTGTATTCAGCGAAAGTCCCAGTATCGTTAGTTCGCACTACCTAGGACGATAGTTTCATTGTGAACACACCCTTAGTTTCAAAAACCACGCGCTCAATTAGGAATTGATGTGACGTTTAAAGGGCTTCTATACGGGATTTTCACACCCAATCTATATAAATAGGGCAGTTTTCTCCTTTAGACTACTTCACTCTATGGTTTCTATGTTCTACCTGTTCCTGCACTCGGATTCGATGGTTAATCCACGTACTACAGTCTAATTAATTAACTTAGTTTTAAACGAATCATGATTCATTAAGGCCGATATACAGTACAGCTTCCTGGTATTTCAGAAAGAAATATCAACATCAGGTATTTTTATTTGAAGAATATGAGCGTTTTCAACGTCTGAACTGGGTAAGATAAGAAACTCTACATGATATTTATACATAAAATGTATGGCTTTGGAGCATTTCATACATATAAAGTATGCATCTAGGCACCGAAAAATGACAGTCTGAACGCCCACCGACTACTATTAATATATCGCATATACTGTTAGACCAACCCCAGGAGCGACGATAGGAAAGCCACGCTGGTTAACAAAATATCCATTCAAACCGACCATCTGACAGACATGCCAGCCACAAACTGTTTATCATTTACGGACAGAAGCACCTATAGTGTGCAATGAGTAATAATACTGTACGACCCGCAGCTAATATCGCTCCCTTTCGGATATCCTGAAACGAGATCCTGTTTGTCCCGGACACGGTTGATTACAAGCGAGTTGAACGAACTTATTTTTGCACTTATAAATCTAGGACGGAGTTAAAGTGTGCATTTAAGTTATAAGCAGCATCCAGAGCGTATAACTGAATTTTTGGGGACCACGACACGAAAAGTTGCGAACATGGTAGCATATGTTGGGTTGACCTTGGTTTTAGTGATATCACTGCTGAGCGCTGGAGAGGTAAGACTGATGTTTTTTTTCTCTCTGTTCATCTCTCTCTCCCTCCCTGCCTCCCTCTCTCTCTCTCTCTCTCTCTCTCAAGTCATTGTTTATAGATATCTCAGGAAAAAGGGGATTAAGCCATGACGATCAAAATATTTTCAATTACATAACATATTACTAGTCCTAATTAAGTATTTTTTTCTCTTACAGGCCCAGCGTGACCGATGCGTAAGTACTGAACCTAGCAATATTAATAATATTCAACTAAATAACTTATTCATTAACATTTGACATTTAGTAGAACTTTAAAAATCTCCACTATGGGCAGGTTAGAACATTTTAAAACATTTTAAAATGTCTTCAAAATAATTTTTTCATTTTATACCTTCCCCACAATAAAGTCTACTGGTCCGTTAATACTACCCTAGGTTCTAGATTCCGGTATTGTCAGCTCGATCTTGATTTCATATATAACCCATATCAACAATACCTACTAAAAGCGACTCCATCACAAGGTATATATTTAACAAGCTAGCTTTTACGTTGCTCTGACACTCAGGGTAGTTAATACAAACAGTATTTGAATGGGCACTTGTCCATCGTTCTTTATGTTATAGAAGAGTTGGGTGGTGAATTGGGACAAAATTTTTTTAGCAGTGAAATGTATAAAGCAAAGGAATGAAAGAAATTAGATTTTGTGTCGTTTTGCTCGTCAAATATACAATTTACTTTATGGAGGATCGAAGAAGAGGGTACTTTCGAAGCTCAGGGCAGCTGTGGCGTCCGTTGGATCAGCCAATGATGTTTAGCTATGTAAGGGCCCATTGCCAATGAAACTATCTACGTAGACCGATAGTTTCAATGGGAATAGCCCTAAAGCAACACAACTGTACATACAGTATATTTATGATATTAGTTGCCATTAATTACCAGCCATTTTCTTGAACACATATTTTACAGCGTCATTGCCGGCCGGGACAATCCTGCACCAAGCTGTACAGACGTTGTTACGACACGTGTCAAGTAAGGGCCTATCCTTAAGTAATAAATAGACTGTTATATTATTACTATTATCATAATTCTTGCTAGTAGCTAGCGGTAAAAGCGTTTCCTTTATAAAGAAAAAAAGCGGATAATGGTTTCATTTGCAAAGAGACAGATGCGCATGTGTATACATAATTTCATGTCTGACTCCTTACGCTATTCTGTGCCGTCAAAAAAACCTTCGGTTTGAACAGTATTATTTTTTCTAGCTGTTACATAATTGATTGAAAAAGTCTTTTTCCAATTTTGCAACAGCTACGTGTACAAAATCATCTGGCAGAGAGTAGGTTTGGGTCGAGAAGAGTTGTTTTAATACGGGCATGTTCATTGTGGCGACTGCACATGTAAGATAAGCGGCTGGGTGAAATGGCTGACCTGTAGAAGCTAAGGCTGTAAACCACATATACATGTATGTCTGGGGTCGTTTCTTTCTAGTCTACACCACTGTTTTAGCAACAGATCAACGCATTTCATTCCTACTTGGTTGATTGCAGAAAAAGAAATTTGAAGAAGGAAAACTGTGTTTGAGTGTGACTTGTAGACGGTGACTCTGTAGAGACATGAGGAAAAAGAGACGCTGAAACTTAGACTGATGTCGCTGAATTTGTTTCCACTTGTGTCAAAAAAACTGTTATAAGTTCATCCGGTTCATCCAGTCACGTAAATTGGAGCTTTTTCATTTCTTGTTTGAACGCAGGTTGATTAACAGTGATAGAGTAGTAATTGTAAAATTATGATGACTTTTGAATATTTTCAGCTGAAACAATGTCTGCCACACCAGCAGTGTAAGGATTCCAATGTGTTTGGGGCGTACTGTATGACTATTAGGAAGTGCTCGGTATGGCTCTTATAGTTCTGTACAATTTTCATAATTTAATATTTTTAAAGCTTATTAAGGTATCCGCAGTGACTTCTAAATTGAGTACCATTTTCCTTTGATTTAAGTTATTGTTAAATGTCAATTAAAAAAGAACAAATACGAAATATACATTGGTACATTTTTTTTTCATATCGATACTTTTGATATGCCTCATAATTTAGTACAGTGGGGGATCGGGAGGAGGAGGAGAGTAAGGGGATTACCTGCCACTTAGCTTTAGTGATACCCCTTTCTCTCTCTCAACAAAATAATGTAGTAAGCAAAAAGACGAAGAAAAATAAAACGCACAAATTTTTCACCCCCGTGCCCTACACATTATAGAAGAAATTGGCCTCGTTTACTGGTCCACATCGACTCTTCATTGTGCCTCCCCCCTCCCCCCCACTCCCCCCCCCCCCCCGAGCCATGGATCCGCCAGTGATCATTATAAAGGCCACCCTTTATCTCTTCCCAGCTGAAGACTTCGATTAATGTGTAATCAGGCATTGTTATTTTGCAGAACATGAATTGTGAACCCCATGAGATGTGTGTGGAGTTTCCAGACGGACCAACGTGCGTGCGAAACCCATGCTATGTAAGTACATGTAAATCTCCGCGTGTCTTTCTTTGTGTCGCCGCTTTTTCGTTATTTGAAGAAACTTCTTCAAAGGAGAATCGATAGTCTAGAGCTGGACACATTTTTTATTCTTTCAATCATATAGAGGAGCAAAAGTTTACGATAGTATGTCTAGCCACTACTACGTAAATGCATAGGCCCCCCTATATGTAATTAAAAAAATTTTTTTTCAGTTAAAACTCTGTCAGCCAGGTATGAAGTGTGTTGTAAATGGCGAAATAGGCACGTGTGAACTGGACTTAGGGCCAGACGCCACAGAGCCAACCCCGACCACGACACCCACCTGCAGCGTAAGTAATTGCTACTAAATAGTGTAAATTGTAATCAGCTTAACTGAAAAAAGATATCAAATAGATAAACTTTATCGTTTTTGATCAAATATTTTAATATTTGATTTTCTTTTTATAAGTACATAGTCAGAGAGTTTCCTCCAGCTCGCTTTCACGAAATTGTATTGTCTTACATATGTATTATATGAGAAAAAAAAAAAATGAAATGAAAAATAAATAAACGAAAAAGAACATTTGTATTCTTAGTCAGGGAATTATAATGGTTTACTGAATGATATATTGAAAGAAAGTATTTGGATTATTTCATGTCATAAATAACCACATATTTCCACAGGATTTGGGATGCCCTGATGGCTACGTTTGCCGGGAGGTTGCGATTCAATGTATTCGAGCGCCGTGTCCTTCACCCATGGCACAGTGTGTGCCTGTCCCTAGTAAGTATGCCGCTCGATAGAGGGCGTGTATCTCTATTAAACTGGTAGAGGCCTTATACATGACAGACTTGTGGAGATTCTTTTGTCTATAGCTATTTATATTAGTTTGATCTTACCATCCAATATTATAATAACATAGCTAATGAAACTGGTCTACACTTATACATGACAGTTTTCAACATAGGGCCTATTGTATTTTTTGGCAACGGTAACAATGGCTATCAAACATAAGTCGTATGAAATACTTTTTATTTTTCTGATTCCGATTTGTGAATATCGTCATTAAGACATTATGTATAAAATATATATATATATATAAACGAGTATATAAAATGTTGTAAAATAATATACTGAAGCCCATATTTTTCAATTGGCAATAAGCTTTTAACAGAAAAGAATACAATCACTGGCGGATTCAGAGTTTTGATAAGGGGCAGCAGAGGGGGGCACGAGGATAAAAAAGATATTGAATAGTAGAAGAGGGCAATTTTACTGTGGTATATACGTAAAGCGAGTAGGGCCTATGCCACATGTTCAGTTTTTCTCGTTTTTTTTTGTAATACTGTATTTAAGTATGATCGGGGTACATCCAAAGATGGTGGGACGGGGGTTGGGGTGGGGGAAGGGTGCACGTGCCCCTTAATGCTCATCTCTGGATCCGTCAACATGTTGTGAGTCATTTAATATACCAGGGCATGTACCGGGCATGTAAGCAATGTATTTGAAAACACTTACAGACGTTACGATTTTATTTCCTAGCTCCTCCTACATGCACTGGCGGACGGGTGTTTCAGACCTGCGCTAGTGCGTGCCCTAGAACCTGCACTAACCCACGCCCTATCTGCACGAAGCAGTGCGTGCAACGTTGCGCGTGCCCGCGGGATATACCATACGTGCACAAAGATCAGTGCATCGATGCGGAGCAGTGTTTGATGGAGCTCGCATCCCGTTACTATAGGACCTCATAACGCTGAGGATCTGCATGGTGTCTCGAAGAGAGATCAGGATTTTCTATTATAACATTTTTGTTCATCATGACGAAATAAATCCTTTACGACTATTTAGTTCAATATCAGTCAAGGTATCTATACTGTTATATCCAAATTGCCGACATTGGTCCGGTTTTCATGTAGTTACCATTTTTATGCATTTTCCTCGCTGGAATTAAAAATAAAATGTATAATCATAGAAAAATGAAAAGAATAAATACTCTCAATCAAAACACTAGGGATTCGGAGATCTATTGGTTTTAAATATAGTGGAACCATATATTGACCTCCCTAAATAATTAAAGCAGATTAAGTAGAAACTGTTTTAATTTCTTTTCTGTCTAGAAAATTTCAGCAAAATTGGTAAAGAAAACTTAGAGATATGCTGTTCTCTAACAAACAGACAAATCAACACCGAAAAACAACCTCCTTCGTTTGCGGGGAAAATGTCAAACTTCATAATTGTGTCTGTACCAAAATAGCAAGATTGAAACTATAGAGTAATAATCGGCTCAAATATTTCTATGATATTGAAAAGGGTATGAAAGCTAGATAAAAACATTCGATTTCTCCACTTTTCGCCGCTGCAGGGCATAGGCCTAAACTGTGCACCTCGTTCTTGCTAATGAGCCGGAAGTGACGTATCTTGCGTTAAACACGGATGTAGCGACATGTGAGACAGTAGTGGATTTTGTGGTTTGCTACTCTACGACCTTTCGCGACCGCCCTCTATTGTTCACACATGCATTTTAAGGCTATAATATATACAGATAAAATGTATTAATATAATAATATGATAGATATGAGTTGTCAACTCCTCGTAAATTGTATCTTACTGTATAATCAGAAAATACTTAATACCGATTTCAAAGAATTGGCCTATTACTGTGGCCTGCTCCTTTAGTAAATCTCAACAGAGTGGTTAGAAGTAATAAAAACAGTTAACGTAGATAAAAAAGATATAAAAAGAAAAAAAAAGATATAAATGTACATCAAACAGGTTCGTCCTTCAATTGAAAGTATTTTTTTTTTTCTTTTTTGGGGGGGGGGAGGGGGTAAGAATTCTAAAAGGACATTTCAATTACAATCCAATCAAAAGTAACGATAATATATTTACCAAAAAAGACAGTTCTGGTGTAGGAGTTACCGGTAGCACAGCTACGTGTTCATGTTTGTGTTGTTGGTACATGTAGTTATCTATGGCGGGACTTTATCGCAACCAGAATGGTTCCGTTTCTATTTTCATCTGTGCTTTTTCCTTAAGTACTTAAATGCAAATGATGTGACAGAAATTAGACAAAGTTAAACAATAAATAAAGATAAAAAAGCCAAACCAACTGGCTGTTTTTTTATTTATGAATTCGGGCGAATAGACATTGTAAACTTGATGAAACCCAAAGGTCGTGATTTGCAACTTTATGGCTATAATTTACAATGAAACTAGGCAGGTGATAAATTATTACTGATTATGATGCTGACAGGTGCCCCGACGGGGGGAAGCCGTACCAACGACGGGCGTCGCTTTGGCTTTAAAAATTCCGTATCCTAATGTGCCGACTTTACGAAAACAGGATACAGCAAACACGGCTGATCTATTTTGGCTATGGTGTCGCAATAAGATATTCACAAAATAAAGGACTTATATGAAAACTCAATAAAACGGTTTAGTTTCACTTTTGGTTAAAAAAAGATAACGAGCCTTTTCAGTTTGATTTATGATATATGTGCACGTATGCCTGTGCCCATTTGTGTGTGTGTGTGTGTGTGTGTGTGTGTGTGTGTGTGTGTGTGTGTGTGTGTGTGTGTGTGTGTGTGTGTGTGTGTGTGTGTGTGTGTGTGTGTGTGTGTGTGTGTGTGTGTGTGTGTGTGTGTGTGTGTGTGTGTGTGTGTGTGTGTGTGTGTGTGTGTGTGTGTGTGTGTGTGTGTGTGTGTGTGTGTGTGTGTGTGTGNTTTTTTTTTTTTTTTCTTGTTTTAAATAAATTAATTAAAAAATTATATAAAAAAAAAAAAAAAAAAAAAAAAAAAATATATATATATATATATATATATATATATATATATATATATATATATATATATATATATATATATATATATATATATAAACGAGTATATAAAATGTTGTAAAATAATATACTGAAGCCCATATTTTTCAATCGGCAATAAGCTTTGAACAGAAAAGAATACAAGCACTGGCGGATTCAGAGTTTTGATAAGGGGCGGCGGAGGGGGGCACGAGGATAAAAAAGATATGGAATAGTTGAAGAGGGCAATTTTACTGTGGTATATACGTAAAGCGAGTAGGGCCTGTTCCACATGTTCAGTTCTTTCTCGTTTTTTTTGTAATACTGTATTTAAGTATGATCGGGGTACATCCAAAGATGGTGGGACAGGGGTTGGGGTGGGGGAAGGGTGCACGTGCCCCTTAATGCTCATCTCTGGATCCGTCAACATGTTGTGAGTCATTTAATATACCAGGGCATGTACCGGGCATGTAAGCAATGTATTTGAAAACACTTACAGACGTTACGATTTTATTTCCTAGCTCCTCCTACATGCACTGGCGGACGGGTGTTTCAGACCTGCGCTAGTGCGTGCCCTAGAACCTGCACTAACCCACGCCCTAGCTGCACGAAGCAGTGCGTGCAACGTTGCGCGTGCCCGCGGGATACACCATACGTGCACAAAGGACAGTGCATTGATGCGGAGCAGTGTTTGATGGAGCTCGCATCCCGTTACTATAGGACCTCATAACGCTGAGGATCTGCATGGTGTCTCGAAAAGATATCAGGATTTTCTATTATTATATTTTTTTTTCATCATGACGAAATAAATCCTTTACGACTATTTAGTTCAATATCAGTCAAAGTATCTACACTGTTATATCCAAATTGCCGACATTGGTCCGGTTTTCATTTAGTTACCATTTTTATGCATTTTCCTCATTGGAATTAAAAATAAAATGTATAATCATAGAAAAATGAAATGAATAAATACTCTCAATCAAAATACTAGGGATTCCGAGACTTATTGGTTTTAAATATAGTGGAACCATATATTGACCTCCCTAAATAATTTAGCAGATTAAGTAGAAACTGTTTTAATTTCTTTTCTGTCTAGAAAATTTCAGCAAAATTGGTAAAGAAATCTTAGAGATATGCTGTTCGCTAACAAACAGACAAATCAACACTGAAAAACAACCTCCTTCGTTTGGGGGGGAAATATCACACTTCATGATTGTGTCTGTACCAAAAAAGCAAGATTGAAACTATAGAGTAATAATCGACTCAAATATTTCTATGATATTTAAAAGGGGTATGAAAGCTAGATAAAAACATTCGATTTCTCCACTTTTCGCCCCTGCAGGGCAGAACTGCGCACCTCGCTCTTGCTTATGAGCCGGAAGTGACGTACCTTGTGTTAAACACGGATGTAGCGACATGTCAGACAGTAGTGGATTTTGTGGTTTGCTACTCTACGACCTTTCGCGACCGCCCTCTATTGTTCACGCATGCATTTTAAGGCCATAATATATACAGATAAAATGTATTAATATAATTATATGATAGATATGAGTTGTCAACTCCTCGTAAATTGTATCTTACTGTATATTCAGAAAATACTTAATACCGATTTCAAAGAATATTACTGTGGCTTGCTCCTTTAGTAAATCTCAACAGAGTGGTTAGAAGTAATAAAAACAGTTAACATAGATAAAAAAGATATAAAAAGAAAAAAAGATATAAATGTAGGCCTACATCAAACAGGTTCGTCCTTCAATTGAAAAGTTTTTTTTGGGCTTTTTTTTTGGGGGGGGGGGAGGGGGTAAGAATTTTAAAAGGACATTTCAATTACAATCCAATCAAAAGTAACGATAATATATTTACCGAAAAAGACAGTTCTGGTGTAGGAGTAACCGGTAGCACAGGAACATGTTCATGTTTGTGTGTTGTTGGTACATGTAGTTATCTATGGCGGAACTTTATCAAAACCAGAATTATTCCGTTTCTATTTTTATTTGTGCTTTTTCCTTAAGTACTTAAATGCAAATGATGGGACAGAAATTAGACAAAGTTAAACAATAAATAAAGATAAAAAAGCCAAACCAACTGGCTGTTTTTTTTATTTATGAATTCGGGCGAAGAGACATCGTAAACTTGATGAAATCCAAAGGTCGTGATTTGCAATTTTATGGCTATAATTTACAATGAAAATAGACGTGATAAATTATTACTGATTATGATGCTGACAGGTGCGCCGTATTTCACAATTTATGCGCTCCGACGGGGGGAAGCCGTACCAACGAGGGGCGTCGCTTTGGCTTTAAAAATTCCGTTTCCTGATGTGCCGACTGTACGAAAACAGGATACAGCAAACACGGCTGATCTATTTTGGCTATGGCGTCGCAATAAGATATTCACAAAATAAAGGACTCATATGAAAACTCAATAAAACGGTTTAGTTTCACTTTTGGTTAAAAAAACGATAACGAGCCTTTTTCAGTTTGATTTATGATAAATGTGCACGTATGCCTGTGCGCATGTGTGTGTGTGTGTGTGTGTGTATGTGTGTGTATGTGTGTGTGTGTGTGTGTGTGTGTATGTGTGTGTGTGTGTGTGTATGTGTGTGTGAGTGAGAGAGAGAGAGAAAGAGAGGGTGGGGATGGGGGACGAGAGTGCGAGACAGAGAGAGACAGTGGGTTGATTTTCCCCAGATACATGTATCTGCTTTGGTTTTCGGAAATTAATAGGAAGACGCCCACACCCGAATTCTTTTTAGCTTATAAAATGTAAATGTTCTGCATCAGATTAAGGCGTGATGGGATGCCTCCATAATGCCGCCATCGGGGACAGCCAAGTACTGCAAAACCAGTATTATACGACCTGTCGCGTGTTTAGCATGTATTTCGGGCCTCTGATGGGGTGCGGTTAAAAAAGTGTCATTGCAAAGAAGTCATCGACTAAATATAGTGACTTACTATATGTAACCAAGATCAGCGACTAAATATTTATGGCCAAGATCTTGTTTACTTCGGTTATAAACTTTATTAGCTTCATGTGATAGTGATTGAAATTGTAAATGTCCTCGCATACAATGAATAGAATGACAGCCACTTAAGAAAAGAAGGATGTGGTAAACCTTGTTTTAAATATGAAGAGGAGAGTTTATGTTGGTTTAGATAGTTCGATACCTAAAGAGCGAATTATCTAGTTTTTTTTCGTTGTTTGTATTTCACCACTTTGTCCTATGTCATCTTTGGCTTTAACATAAAAGTAAAGAATGTACTATCCGGATTGGGAATTTAATAGGGTGGAGGTGGTGGTGGGTGAGGTCGGGGTGGTTGGATTGGGTGGGGATGGGGTTCGAAGGATAAAACATTTTTAGTCTGGCTTCACTCGTAGATGAGGACACTTTTGCTTTTCTAAACAATCCAAATTCAAGTGCAGAATAACTAATGAGCAGAATTTAATTAAAGGGGTAGCAATAAATGTGTAAATAAGGCCTTTTAAACTTCATTGGCCGAATGCCGCTTTAGAAAAATGCATTCTGATTTATTGAGGAAACATGAATGCTTAAAATAGAACTAGGGTTCAAGTTTCAATATGGTTGTTTATCCAAATATATTTTCCATGTATAAGGACTCAGTCAATTGGGTTCACCCCCCGCTTCACTCGACCCTTCCCCCAAGGATCCGCCACGACCAATATACAGTTTATCCGCTGAATGTCCGGTGTCATAGTTTTGCTATTCACTTCCTTATTATGATCTGATGAAATTTTGCATAAGCGGAACAGGGAGAGGCATAATTAAAATAATATATCTTTTTCCTCATCACGAGCGTTAACGCAAGAATTGTAAGGTAGCCATCATTTCACATATTCAAACATTAATTAATGCCGCGTCTTCTTGGTGCACGGGCACTGTAGAAGGGAAACATCAAATGGAGTTGAATGTACCTGTTAACTACAGAGCACTTGCAGAGGGCAGACCTCCGCCTGAACAGTAATTTATGAGAAAAGAAAACGAAAAGATAATCAGAAGTATCAGAGGACCCGGATTCACTTCAGTTTGTTTTCACTTCAATTTGCAATCAATTTTCCTTGTCACGCTGAAAATTTCATCAAAATCTGTCAAGTAAGTTTTGAGATATGTTCTCCACCAACAAACCAATGGCGATGAAAGCGTCATTATTACATCCTTCGGTGGCGAAGATAATAAAAAAAAATAAACAGAATATTGTGAAGCATTGGGATGTGTATCCCATACACTGGCGGATCAAGGGTTTTGCTAAGGGTGGGGGAGAGGATGGGCCTGGTGTAAGGACATCGATATTTTTGGCGATCGAATAAGACGAAGATAATTGTACTGTAATATGTAGGCAGAGGTGGAAAATTGGTTTGTTTTTTTCTTCTCATTTTGCTCGGAATACTTTTTTATGTATAGAGAAGGTTGAAGGTGGCGATGGGGGTGAGGCGTCGGGAAGGTAGGGAGAAGAGAAGGGTTTTAACCCGAAGCTAAGGGTAAGGAAGCACTTGCTCCTCTTTCTGGGTCCACCATTGAGCAAGCACCTGGTAAAGAAACTCCAGTTGTGTGACCGTGACGTTAACTTCACAGTGTAGCACAAACAGGAAAATTGTGGCAAATAATTGACTTCTGTTGTCCGTATATGCGTGTGGCTTTTATGTTACTATATTTATATATCTTTTATGTCGAACATGACCCATGGCCTAATTACACTCCCTACCGAACGCGGAAATACTTTGATAACTGCACCTTGACAGGCCGCTAAAGTGACGTGTAGTTCACCTTGATATATGCATATTTTGGTAAGGTAATGTAATGCCAAGGAGAGCCTATATAAGGCGAGCGTTTTCCAACCTTCTTCATTTGTGTTAATCCGTATCCGAAATACATATTTTTTGAAACACAGGTGGACATTTATGATTATGAAGATATTAGCTCTTTGTTACGCTTTCGCGTTATTTGTTTTTGCAACTGCAGAGGTAAGTGTGAGATTTATGTCTTGTAACTCTCTGTCTGTCTGTCTGTCTCTCTCTCTCTCTTAAATATGTCTTGGTAAGTGGTTTAAAATTGTTCTATAGTGACCGAATGTTCTATCACAATTTGCTAGCATTAAATTTCACATTTTGTTCTATTACAGCAGCAGCAGCAGCAGCCTCAATGCGTAAGTTTTCGATTTATTTAAGTCATTTAATAAACCAAATGTTTATCGCTTATGCAGTTGATCTTCATTCGCAGTTTAAAAGGCAGCATGAACTTTTTTCATTACCAGTACAACTCTGAGACACTGAGATTACGATGCAGATTAATACAGCTAAGATTTACACGGTAGCCAATAGGTATTTTACTCAACTCCCAGTAAATATTGTCTTCACTTTTAATTGTTTATTTGACTGTATATTTCGCGTTTGTAAAGAGTGATTCTATAGTAAAGGTCTGTTTTGCATGTATGCCGTACTTATTTACCAAGCCCAGGTTGTAATTTTATTATATTGGTCACATTTACAGAACCCCCCTTGCTCAACAGGTGAGAAATGTGTTCTTCAAAGAGTGCAGTGTGTCAGGTTTCCCTGCGATCCAGTTCCCGTGTGTGTCAAGGATCCTTGTAACGTAAGTGTGTAGAGTGCCAGGGCTTTATTCATAGCAAAACAACGTGCAATATTTAATCCGAATTTAAATTAGATAGGCTGAGATTGAAACATTATTGCACACGCGCGTGCGTTCAAATTAAAGTGAAACACACTCTGATCAATATTGTTCAAGTATAAACCACAGAAACAACATCATTTACAAGTACTTTTAATTTAACTTCACACTTTTAAGTTAGATTAAAAAAATCTAACCACACCCCATTTTCCGCAGAGATAACGTGTTGATTTTGTAAATATGTTGGTTCTTCAGGGTTGCAAAGGTCTTTGCACCTCTGAGGACACTTGTGGAACGCCATGTGACGTGAGAAGTTTTTGCCTCCCACCGCCGCCACCAACAGGATGTGCGGTAAGCACGGCCAATGCAAATATTTACCGTATTATGTCGAGAGTCTTGATTATATCAGTGGCGGAACCAGAAAAGGGCACATGTCCCATCCTTAACGACTGTGGTACTCACTTCTCCTCCCCTCACAATAGGCCATACTATGTTATAGCACAAGGTATGACGGTGGAGTATATTTACTTTTCATTTGTTTTCAGGCAATGCTGTGTGCCGTGGGCCACAGGTGTGTGGAGGGTCCAGATGGACAAGGGAGGTGCTTGCCTTCCTGCGCGGTAAGTAAAGAATTGCTGGACAGTGATCAGTGAATTTTTGTGCAAACCCTGGTGTGATATTACGTTGGTCTGATGTCCCCCGGGCGTGGAACGTTAGTCACGCCCCCCCCCCCCCCCCCCCCCCCCCCCCCCNCCCCCCCCACCACTACCACCACACGGGAGTTGACCAAATGTTGGCTATCGTGTGTTAACCTGTGTTAAATGTGGCACCCCTTTTTAGTCCGCAGTCCACTGGTGCTTCCGACACACTGTTTACTGTAGTTTTATACTATGTGCTTAAATTGTCTATGGAGCTCGGCTGGATCGGGTTTGGTTATTGTGACATGTGCAACCGTGAACGTGCAGCATGTCTGGTTATCGATATTTGATGATTTGCTCAACATGTGTCTGTCAACTCCTATTGGAATCGTTTTTTAGATAACTCTTTTCATTATTCAGAACTGCTGTGTTGTATGATTATAAGAAATTCATTGTATTTGTAAATGTAATGACTCCTTTCTTCCAGCTGATTGACTGTCAACCTGGATATGACTGTATTGAAGGTCCCCTTGGCGGGAAATGTGTTCCGGTAACGTGTAAGGTAAGAGCCGTTATGTATAATTCAAACTTAGGATTAATTATGGAGATTGTGGGCAGAAATTTGAAAATCTGGCCTGTAAACCAGCCATTAAAACATCCATATTTAATTATTTTGAAGTTTTCAAACATTAACGCACAAGGCACTGAAATGGCACTTAAAGAGATTTATCACATGAAGGAGACATGGTTCGCACTTCCTACATAGGGTAATGTTATGAAGTGATAATTACTTTGTTTTTCCACATCAAGTTCTCAAGTGATGTTCTAATATGATAATATCATTTAAATATATTAGGTGACCGGTTGTCCGAAAGGAGAAAAGTGCGTATCGTCGAATATCTCCGGGTACAGATGTGTCTCCACGTGTGCTGTAAGTGTGCATACTACACGAACTACGACGTTAAAAGTTGTAATTTTAAACGCAGACATATTGTGCATTGATAGTCCATTTTTGAACACTCATCATTAAAGAATCAAGTATTTCATGAAGTATGAAAGTTGTGTAAAATTAATAAAAGCAACAGCCACCGATTTGAAGAATTTGGTTTGCTATGGATTCCTTCGACTAAATTTATTTAATTTCATTACTTCCTCTCTTTAGATCCGACATTGCGCTGAGACCCAGGTATGCAGCGACACGCCGACTGGAGCAGTGTGCGACGATGCCGAATCCTGTGATGTAGGTGTACATGTAGATGCTTTGGAATCAAAGTCATATAATTGTTCGACCCAACTTGGTTTTATTATTTTACTTCTCATTTCAGCAATATAATGCATATTCGTCGTAACTATTTTACGAATGCTGGATTGACTTTTCAGAGATTATTTTTATTATGCAGTACTATTTAATTGAATAAGATCTCATTGCCATGAGTTGTTCTTTTGAACAACTAGTGCTGACGTACTGTATTTTACAAATGTAATTTAAACTAGCATTGACGTGTTTAACGTGAAGATTCTCCTTTATCAACATCTGATGCACGTGTATTTTGCAGCAAGTCACGTGCAACCCAGGACGACGCTGTGTTGGCGGTCCATTTGGCAGGGTCAGGTGTGTCGACACATGCGCGGTAAGTAGAGATTGAATTTATTGGAATGAAATGTTGTCATCTTCACGTGTAATATTTGATTTCTCAGCAGTGTGATATTAACACGTTTTTGACCACAAAATCGTTTTGCTTCATGTGGTAAAATGTCTGTGTATCTTTGTCGAGGTAGCTACTTTTAAAGTAAATATTATCTTTGTTTTTTAAGTATTCAATCTGTATATCTGTTTAAAGATGCTAAATATAACATAATCTTTCAGACCAAGCGCTGTATGCCCGGTTTTAAGTGTGTAGAGTCCCCATTCGGAGCGCACTGTGTTGCTTTAACGTGCAGAGTAAGTGTAGAACTAGTGGTTCTATAATAGTCAAATGGTGCAGTTAAAAAATAAAATAATTATCTACATGGCTGTCCAGTCCATGAGATGTTCGAAAATGTGGGTCCAAATATAAGTAAACCTTGCAAGAGAAATGAAATAACTCGTAATTATGTAAGTGAAGTAACAGAACCATTCTCGCTTCACTTCGAACAATATGATAATATATATGTATAATAGTCTCACGCGTCAGCGAGTTAGTGAGCCGTTAATTCTTTGTCAGAACTGTCCCTTTTTGCAAAGACTATTGCCGCCACTGTTTATCAAATTATATGACATTTCCTAGTACTTTCAAGTCTTATAGCATAGCCGGACTATATTTGCACAAAGTTCCGTGTATTGTAGGACCTGACATGTAGGCCATATGAGAGATGTGTGCAGCTTTCAACTGGAGCAAAATGTGTTGGAACTTGCGCTGTAAGTATTCAAGGGTATATAAAACACCACACAGCATATAAAACAACTTTGAGCCACTTGTCTCTTTAACGTATTGGTTTGTCAGTAATAGTATAGAAGCTGAGAAATTGTCGATTTGGCTTTCTAGTCTAAACCTTACATAGATAATTGAAGTATGTAAATGATGGGTTGTTCTTGTCTCGCGTTTTGGGAAGGTGGGTCTTTGTGGTGGAATGTGGGTGGGTCTTCGTCGTGTGGGTGGGGGTCTGGTGTGTCGGCACATGCGCAGTAAGTTGAATTATGGAACCAAATGCTGCCATATGCATGTGTATTACCTGAATTTGGTAAGGTGAAATGAATACGTCTTGTCCGCCTTGTATAAAAAATTGATTTGCTTCACGCAGTAAAATTGTTGTGTACCTTTGTCTTCGTAGCTGCTTTAAAAATAAACAGCATCTTTGGTTTTTTTCCAAAGTATGCAATTTGTAATTCGGTATGATACAAATATTTCAGCTAGTGCGATGTGCACCCGGATATAAGTGTGTGGAGTCTTCATCTGGAGCAAAGTGCGTGCCTCTAACGTGCAGAGTAAGTGTGAAAACGGTGCTTCTATAATAGTCCACAGCTTAATTAAAATTAAACATGGCTATATTCAGTCCATTGAATGTCCGAAGGTGTACCAAAAAGTCTAAATTTAGGTAAAGCTTACAAGGAAAAACCCATGAAATAACTCTGGTATTGTGTCAGTTGATAAATACTAGTAATTATTTGGGTGGAGTAATAGAATCACCCTTGCTTTATTTCGAACAGTGTGATAATATTGTACATGTACCCGGGTATTTAGACGGCACACACGTTAGTAAGTTATTAAGTGCTTCTTTCTGCAACAAAAATTGCCACTTCTTAGCCAGAATATCGCCATCATTGTTTATTTAATTATATGACTTTATTAACCCATTTCCTGATGTTTTCAAGTCTGATAGCATATAGCCAGCCTATTTTTAAACAGAGTTTCATGTATTGTAGGACCTGACATGTAAGCCATATGAGAGATGTGTGGAGCTTTCAACTGGAGCTAAATGTGTTGGGACGTGCGCTGTAAGTATTCAAGGGTAAACCACACAATATAAAAAAGAAGCTTGAGTCATTTACCGATATAATAGATTTTTTTTAACGATTTGGTTCGTCAGAAATGATATAAACATTGGAAAATGAATAGACATGCCAGACATTTACATCGATTTTACTATTGTGAATAACATGCAGGTATTTCATTTCATTTTCATTCATTATGTCAGACGGTTCGCTGTCCCAACTGTATTGAGACGGATGATGGACCAAAGTGTGTGCCACTGCCACCTACTTGTAACGTGAGTGACTTTATGTTATACATGTACTAGTTTATAATGGAACCAATGTAAACGAGTGACAAATTTAACTTAATAATCATTAAAGGCAAAGTAGCTGCCATCCTGAATGTGTCAATCTACAGATGGTGCTAGGAGGGTGATGCGGATCAAGCTGTCATTTAATCATAACACTTGAAATGTTTGTGTCCCAAGAAATACTGAAAATGATAATAATAAAATATATTTTTGTGGCAATCTGATATATACTTCTTTTATGATTCACATATAGTTTACTTAATGTTTTTGTTATTATTTCATTGAAAAGACTATAAAATGTCGTGAAGGAGAAACATGTGTATCGGGACGAACCTTCGTTTGCAAGAAGCCACCTTGTATCCAGCCGTTTCCAAAATGCGTGCGTAAGTGTCTGACTTCTATCCTTTTATTTGGAATCTTCCAAAACGGTGATCACGTTTTTAGCTAAGGTAAAACTAAAACTGAGGTAAGAATTAAACAATAAGTTTAGAATTTTTTGTGTCACCGAAGACTTTGATGAATTGTGTTAGTTTCAAAGTTTAACGACGGAAAACGGACCGCAAATTGTTTATTTCATGCTTTGTGGACAAGGTATTAAGTATACACTTTCACCCTTCAGCTATTTGCGAGGCTCCAAAAGATCCAGGACCCTGTAAAGCAGCAGAGCAGATGTACTACTACAACTCCAAATCCAAACAGTGTGAACAGTTCGTTTACGGCGGTTGCCAAGGGAACGGTAATAGATTCCGCACCAAGGAGGAGTGTGAACAGACCTGTATCTTGACATGTAATGTGAGTACAATACCGGCCCATCATTTAAGTTTTCAAAACAACGTTATAATGATATTTTTGAATAATTACAAATACGTTTTAATATATATGTCCTGAGAATATATAGCATTCATTTAGTTATGAGCTGCACCCTGTTCGTATGCAAATCCATTACCAAGTCTTTGCATGCTTTCTTGAACGGGCAAGCTATTTATTATTTTTATATTTTACGTCTTTATGTCACCAGGATCTAAAATGTCCAGTAGGCCAGCAATGCGTCCAAGAACCGATATATTGCACTCATGAATACATGCCGCCTTGTCCCCAGCCGCCACCAAAATGTGTTCCTAGTAAGTACAACTTTTCTGTAATTGACACTGTTCCATAGTGCAACTCCCATATACATGTAAAACTGTAGACGTTTAAATCGCCTTCAAGCATATCATTCACGAATAAATATCTGTATTAAATCTAAATTCAGTTTAATATAACGCCACCCAAGTCAAGGGATACAGTTTGTTATCTCCAAAATACCATAAATCAGTAAATCGTGCACTGATACACTCACAAATCTACTTATATATATAGGCCTACAAAACCGGTTAGCTTTTATTCTCTGCATATCTACTGTGCTAATATGTTGTTTGTCTCAAGCGGTATTAATTCTTTAGTTAAAATACAATAATAATAATAATAATAATAATAACACGAAAGTATAACTGCATATGCATTGTCCTACAGAGTGCAAAGGTGGCAAAGTGTGGAATGATTGTGGCTCCCCCTGTACCAAGACGTGCAAGGACCCAAACCCAGGTTGCATAGAGAAGTGTGAACCAAAGTGTGAGTGCCCCGCTGACAAACCTATCTGGCATCGTGCTCGTTGCATTGCTGCAAGTCAATGTCCAGGTCAGTAATATTTAATTAACTCACGTCTACATCGCCGCCATGTACAACGGTTTTGGCGATAATGTGGATTGTTGTTGGTAGATAGCCTATTAGTTTTTGCAATCAGTCCCGATATAACTATTTGACGATGTAGTTCGTTATTGGACTATAACGTAATTTGTCAGTCACACACACACACACACACACACACACACACACACACACAAAAAGTTTTCCCGATATTTTAATTCAAAGTTCCATTACTTTTCAAATATTTCTTCAAACATATCATTAAGATCGACTGGCAATCGTCATAACACTCAGTTAATACAAACTGTCGTTCTTTCAATACGTCTTTAACTATAGGCCTACGTTTTCTTTTAATTTCAAGTCAAAGAAGACAGACCATGTAAACGCCCTGGTGGCGGTTATGACAACCCTCTGAGGATCAACGGCCGTCAACTTTGCTGTGGATTATGTATGCCAAGAGATGAATGCCCTACTGGTTATTACTGTGACATTCACCCAACTGATCGATATGCGGTGTGCTGTCCAAACCGCCGATAGATGGAACTGTGTTGCAGGACATACTGGCTAATTTAATTTTTTAAGCATTCCTTTTTTACAGTTAATAGATAATTATCGTGGCTTTAAGCATAACACACGGAGTGTGATTTAGATGACTGTATGTGTGTGTTTTATTTGGGGCAACATTCCCCGTTGAGCTTAACCAAATTTTTATGTTTGTATTTATTGAGGTATAATATTGCATCTTTGTACTTTTGTGTCGCAATGATTGATTAATATGATGAATAACTTTTTACATGAGTTTGTGTTGTGAACTTGCTTCAAAAGGAAATGGACAGGAAAAAAATGGTTATTATTATTCACTGAAAGTGACAAGACACTTCTTTCTGGTAAGTTGCTGCGATTTATAGTGCGGTTACATTTAAAGACTTTAGACATATCTGTAAAAATTAAAAAAAAATGAAAATGATTGACTTTGTATGTTTGTTTTTTTTTCTTATGTGACCTATCCTTACAGAGTCTCATTAGATTTTTATTTATTGAAGTCTGTTTAACTTTGGTTTTACTATTATAAACTGTTTGAGTCTGTCGACGAAAACTTCTTTGGTGCTTTTGTTATTGAAATACGTTGAATTATTTGTGTACTAGTGTTTGATCGGTACAGTTAGAACATATTTCATGAAGATTCATATTAGTGAAACAAAACTGTTGGGTGAAGTTTTGGGGTAGGGCCTACATGCAATACGCATTCAACAGCTTTGGGGAATTCAAAGATGCTAATGGATATTCAAAAAAAGAGGTTTGATACAAATAATATTTACTTCTCTCTGTGACCGCGTGCTATTACTGACACACCATTTGTCTCGTAAACATACTGTCCACATGCATGTACGCTTTAGATTATCAAAAAGACTCACAAACCATTCTCGGACACGTTCAAAGGATAACACTCCGTTTTTTCTGGCTTTTGAGTCAGTCTCTTAATTGAGATAGAGACCAGCAATTTTCGCCCATGAAAGTAAAACTTACGAAAAAAGTTTTGTCTCTGATAAATAGTTTTTGTCTGCACGGGCGTCAAGATTTAATCAACAAAAGATGCGTGCACCAACGAGAGATTGTTTGCCCTCCAACGTTTTATTGATTAACATCATTAGACCTTTACGACTACATTTTGATTTCATTTTAATCTCTACTCCTGTACAGCACCATTTTTAATTCATTTTGTCTTTACTTTTATTGCTTGTTATATAAACATCTTTTTTTCCACTGACTTGCTTTCTTTCTTTCGAGTAATCAAAATATATAACAACATGTATCTAAATTTAACATTATATTCCGGCTATTAACTGCCCATAAGTCTTCAAAAAATATAGATAAAAGATAAACACCAATATTTGTAGCGGCGCTGGATTGAATTACCGGTAGGTCTATTGCTGCATGCGGCAGATGTTTCTTCCTCCTGAAAAACATGCCCAACTTTATCTCGGATGACTTCTCACATATATACGTATTAATTCGACCAATCTAGGTAGATGGTAGGTTTTTTGTTTGAAAGAGAATAAATATTTTACTAATATGCGCATTACAACGTTAAGCAAGATCAAAGATGCCATTCAGCACCGAGTTTAGCATTAAACTAAAGCTATTTATAAAATGAAATAATTACATCATGATGAGAGGACATTGTTATTTATTTGTACATAAAAGAACAGTGAGAATAAAACACGAGTATTCAGTTTTATCACTAAGCCGGGCACTGCTTTGAAGAACTAATATATCACTACACAATCATATCCAGCAAATTGCTTGCTTTCACATCTAACCTACCTAGTTAAATAACACAAGTAAAATTTACCTGCAGTATTATTATCGATCATCCCCGCTACCTTGTTCCTCTGTAATTAAAGAAAATTAGAGAAATTAAAATTTGCTTGTCAGTTCCTGTGAGATGATTAGTCAAACAACCTCAGAAAACATCAACAGTTTTAAAAAAGTTAAAATGAATGAAAATTAAGGGTGCGTTCGCTATGAAATTATAATGTACAAAGTAGTTTCGACTCACTCTGCCGGGACTCTCGTTAAATTCTATCAGACTGAAATATTTGCATGCCTCCTCTTGGCACTGAGTAGAATATACAGAATAATGGGTGATTAAACGAGTACTTTGAGAACAATAGGAGGTGTGTTAATCTGTTAATCTGATTCAGAGTGTGTATCTGCGGAGTTGGATCGATCTGCGCAGAGCAGTAGCTTGATTGGGAACGAGCCCGTGAGTATCATTTGAAAAGCCTTTATGCACATGCAACATGTACCACCCCCCATGCACGTTTTGTTTTGTATCAATTACATTTGATACACATTGCTCACACTGAGAATATCAGTCATTTCGAGCTGTAAATATTCAAATTATGTTCATTTTTATTTTGTCTAAAACCCAAACACAATAGAGAAGACACTTTTCCTGACAATCTTCTAAATCCTAACACAAATATATATACATGTATATACACTATATTATTTACTTTACTTACTGAGTCATAACATCTATGATTACACGCTCAGATGACAGAATTTCCTTATACGTTGTTGTTTTATGAAAAGCAGAGTGTATTTCAGGTATTTAAATCCCAAAATTGAAGACTGTGTATAGTTCACGTGTATGGCAGATAACACTTTGTACCAAGTTGAAAATGGACACATTAGCAATGCACAACAAACCGTTTTCTTCGCGTATCAAAATTTGCGATAAGTTTTTTACTCTAGTGTGTGTGCCGTAAAATATCCCTCAGATGACCAAAAAACACTACAATACTATTCTGATAGCTTTCTTTTCCATAATGTAAACTGCAAAACAGACTGGTACGTCTGTGTCCCAGATTTATGCGTTGTTGTATTATTTTTTTAAGCTAAGAATTAATTAGTTTAAAATACACAGCGATGTTTGGAAACAGACAATTGTTTGTTATAATAAGAAAAACTCATCCCTTTTCACACGAAAGCACGCCATTGTTATGCAACACATAGGAATATATTGACAGACTGTTAAAGATGAAAACACATTGTTGTTACCCAGTATCGTGGACGTGCAGATATAGGCTTATATAAAGGTGTTTATAAAAACACCTGTAACAAAAATGACCGAAATGCATTTCACGTCTAAAATTCTTTCGACACACATCTACCACTGGCCGAATGTTTGGGGCATTCGTTGAAAAAAATCAATGTATTTTTTAGCATTAATATAATCTAACATTGAGTAGGAAGGCAACTACAATAAACATGATGATCAACGTACCTACGCATTCTCCATCCACATCCTCAAAACCTACACTACAAGAACAGCTGGCAGCGACACAACCTCTATAATACAACCCAAACGGCGTACGCAACCATCCGCTTTCACTGCAAGAACATGCAGCATTGGCCTCTTGAAGATCAACTGAAACAATATCAGATACATTCTACTGTACGAAGGTTCATCACAAACATCGCCATAGTTTCTGCAAATCAAAGGACTGGACAACAGAGCCAGATAACTACCCCAAGTTTCAATTGTTTCTTCTCCAGGGTCATATATCTTTGCAGTATTCTACTATTTACGTTACCAAATCAATGTTGACAGAAAATAAGGAAATATATTTAAATAAATAATGAGGTTGATGTTGCACATACCAGTCATACAGGTGGTGCCTGTCCACCCTAAAGAGCATGTGCAGGTGAAACCGGAAGGACCATCCGGGGAACATGTGCCTCCATTACGACACGGTTGTAGCGAACAGGCGTCTCCGTCTAGAAAATGATTATGTTATTAGGCAAGCAGAATCCTTCAGATGTATAAGGTATATATTTCTATAGTATTTATCAACAAGCAAAACATCTGGCCCAGTTTAGTAAAGGATGTTTAGAACTAACCAGTATATAAGCCTAACCAGTGGATAAATTCTCCTAATACCCGTTAACTAAACGATGGTTGAAATTGTGTTTCATAAACATTAACTGACCTTTAAATATTTTTCCAGTTAAACACTGACCAGTTGACTAGCCGGCTGTTTAACACTGTTTATAAAACACAATTTTAACCATCATGACACTGGGCCCTAAACTCTACCCTCCATTTGTACTTTTTAGTGGTATATTCTGCTAATCTGTTTGTTGATCACCTCTCCTATCTGGTGTCAGCATCAGATTATTTGCCTGCTTAAGTCACGGTTTGAGAGAAAAAAAAGGTTGAACACTGTTCCTTCGCGGTTTTAAACTTTTTTACATCACATATTCTATAGGCCATTCCCCCTGTCAGGAGTAAAATATCACCTTGTGCATCTTGCCGCATAGCCCTGATGCTACAGCAATCGGTCATCAGGCACTCATCGACCCGAACTGAACCAGCTTGGCGAGTTACCGGTCAACCCCAGGCCATGACAACATGCAAAGCGTGGCGAGGTCTTCCAAGGCCATGTGTCAGCAGCGCCGTGACGAGCTGAGATGGCGGTGATGATGATGTTTTCATCTACAGTGGGCGATTCGGCTAGTTAGTACCCGCACGGTACCAGCCACGTGCCTGATATACACCCAAGGACACTGTTTGCCCACCAATTTTCTCCTCTATTTCGCATAAAGTGACACATCTCGTACTTCACGTGTAATATGTGTTAGAATGTAAATCAAAGAACAATCCGACGGAACCGATGAAAATATCAAACTGCGTGGCGTACTCTTTTCAAACTGCGGTAATATGAATTGTTGTAATACTTTTATCTGCGTTTGCCCTGAAGTCCTATTTTTATGTATACATGTACATGTACATATCTTGCAAAGGCTCAAATCATTCCCAATTCAGACATCAAAATCAATGAAAGCTCTCAGATAAAAGTGCTTTATTTATTGGCTATATTTCCCTCTGAAATGCACGGGAAGGCTGACAGGACGGTCTAAATTAAAGCCAGTCATTTAAAACTAAATTAATTTGAAATAATTAAATCACAATGCCTCTCAGCATCTAGCCCAAGTGCGGGAATGGGTAGAACAATGGTAAGCGAGTATGATAAAATTGCTAATATTTCGATTGAAACAAGTGCACCATTCAACTCTGATGAATACTAAAATGTAATCTCAATATATTACCAATAGCAAAAGAAATTAAGGCTTCCCTGGGATAGATACATATATGTATGAATACAATGTAAAAAATCATGGCACGCACAGTTTATCTAATTTCAAAATATGTTTTAAACCATTAAAAAATCCTATCACAACTCAATGTTGAAACCCGAAACATCGGTAATCGGCTGTCCGCACTGACATCTCAGCCTTAGAGCAAACAATGTTGGATCCTAGTCTACACTGGGGCATACGAACAAATCAACCCGAAATGGCCAAATAAAATCTGGGCAAGATAAATTTGGTTGGCCTTGTAACTGTTTGAGTGACCCGTTGAGTGAAAAA